GTTCCTTCCTTGTCCCCTTGTCTTTCCCCTGTTGTGATTTCGTCTGGTTGCCCCCCTTTCCTTTCCTCCCTATACAGTATCCGGATCCTTTCCATCTGTGGGTTCGGGGTCGGGGCGGGGATTCGATGGTCTTGAGACTCGGAGGGGGAGGGGTCTTGGAGGTTTCCACTTCCGGGATAGCGACGGAGGCATTTGAGCCTGTTCCTCCAGCAGAATTGTACGAGTCTGCCAGTGGGCTCTCTTCCTTAGTAATTTTCTGGCTGTCCGGCTTTTTATTGTGAGGCTGGGGCTTTGGGGGGACGACTCAGCCCCAGGGCCTGCTGTGAAGGCTCCCAGGGTAGTGGAGGGGGTGACTTGGGGGGACCTCGGGCCCTGTTGGACCCCGCCGGGGTTTTCTACCCTCTGAGCGGGGCTTGCGGTTACATGGAGTGGGGTTTTTCCTTTCACCTTTTGCGTACAAGTTGTTGGGCATTGGCCCCTCCCCGGGTTCAGATCCTTGTCCCTTCGGGTCCGTTTGGTTCCGTCCTATTGGTGGGTACGTTTCTGTTTCTACCCCCTTTTCTCGGGGACGGGACTTCTCTGTCATGTTGGGGTCATGTTCCCCTATTATCGGGGTTCTGCATGACTTTTGGTCTTGGGTGCCTTGACTGTGCCTTTATGAGCCTTCGTGATTTTGTGTTTGAATTTCTGTGAGATCTCAGGATTTTACACAATTCGGGAAGGTCTTATAGATTCTTCCCGCACCTTTATATTGGATTTTGTCTGTCTGTCTTCTCGGGGGTGAGGCTTACCTCCAGTCTGTTGTCTTCCGCTGAGGCTTACCTCCAGTCCTTTTTTTGGACTCGTTGGTCCTCTTCCGTACTTCTTCTTGGTTTTCGATACCGTCTCGTTCTTTTGTCATTATATCTTCTCTCCGTGCTCTGTCTGGGCACTGCTAATATTTTGCAATACTCCTTGTTGGCGCCCTCCCCGCTGGGTGGGGTTGTGCGGTTCGAACCTCATGCGTCCTGCGCATGCACCGTGGGAGTTTGTTTTGTTATGGACGATGTACACAAGTGCTGGTGTTCCGCATCCATTTTCTCTCGGGTGCTTCGCCCCTCTCGCTCCTCTCGTCTCTCCAGTCCGTGCCCCGTAGATGCTGGGGGTGTTCTGGATTGCCACTATGGGGAGGATGCTGGGTTTTCCCTGCATATGGGTGTGGGGCGCCTCATTCGCCTCTACCCTACTCTTCTCCTGCAGGTGCGGCTCTGGCCTTCTTCCTCTGGCGGTGCTCCCGGAATCTTCTCGGCTACGTTGTGTCGTGACACGTTCGTGCCTACGTTCTGCAGGTGAGTTTATGCGGTCTGGCGTCTCTTTCGGCCAGGCGCTGGTTCGTGGTTTTTGGATATGAATATAAGAACATAAGAACAAAGGTGACTGCAGAGGGCCTATTGGCCCATACAAGGCAGTTCCTATTATACCTGTCCGGTCCCACTCATATACATGTCCAACACATGCTTGAGTCAATCAAGGGGCCCCACCTTCGCCATGTTACAAGGTAAAATGGTGGAGGTAAATGTTATGGGGTTAATGTTACACTGGGACATGATGTTATGAGGTGACATTTTGCTGTAGATTTGCTACTGGGGATGTGTTGAGAACTGGTTGTGGCGTTTTGTTTGGCCCTTGCGTGATTCTTCCTGGGGCCTTCCTTGTTTGTGTTGTTTGTTACACGGTGGGTCACGGGCCCCATTTTTTCGTGGTCTTATTTGGGTCACTCATTCCTTGCCCGTCTTGCAGTGCCTGGCTTAGCCCTTCCATATACGTTGGTTTCTCTGTGCTCACCTAGTTGTCCTTACCTAGCTGTGCTTGTGGGGGTTGAGCTCTGGCTCTTTGGCCAGGCCTATCGGCTGTCAATCGCCTAAAATAGACATGGCCTCTTGTGTAGTTGGTCCTGTCCCTTTCATTCCCATTGCTGCCTGTCTTCCTCGTTCCTCATCTTCCTTCTATGCTCGTGTCCCTCGCTGCTGGTGCTGGGGCTGTTTTTCTAGTCCATATGGCTTGTTATCCTGTATCCGCTTCAGGTCGATTGACCTGCGGGGTAATATGTGAGGGGTAGTTGGATTGTTTTGTGTGTCGGTTACTCATCAGGGCTTGACGTCTGCGAGAAGCCCTGTACAAGTTAGTTTACACTTGTTTGTGTTGTGCTAACTACGTGTCAAGGGATGTAATAGTTCTGATGTTACCTCGCCCCTCTTGTTACACATTGTTGTGTGGTTTAGTATTTGCTTCTTGGCTCTCCTACTGCTGCCTTGCTGTTACCTTGCAGTGTTTCCGGGGCTTAGCATCCCCGCGGCCCGGTCGTCGACCAGGCCTCCTCGTTGCTGGACTGGTCACCCAGGCTGTTTGACGCGGCTGCGCGCAGCCTGACGTATTACTTACAGCCTGGTTGATCAGGTATCCTTTGGATGTGTTGATCCAGTTCTCTCTTGGTCACTGTGATTGGTCGGCCTGTTTTTCCCGTTGTGTGTGTGTCGTGGAGTGGTGTTGAAGTCTCGGGCCTCTGATGTTGCTGGGGTTCTCTCCGAGTAGAGAGGTTAGGGTGGACTATGTCTATGTTCAGTTCCCTGCTTTTGCACTGCCCCTATGTTTGGTTCTTTCCCGGCTTGCCAGGTTTGGGTTCCTGGTTTCCTGGCTAACCCTGCCAGTTGGCATTTTCCGGATCTCGCGTTGTCACTTCTCACGAGCCTTGCATCGGAACCACAGTGTCTCCGATCTCCTGGCGAGCTCGCTAGCATTTGGAAGTTTTCTGTACAGCAGACGTTCCTTCTCATTACTTGCCGGCTTGGGTTCTGGCTCTGCTTACTCGGTGGTTGCACCCGAGGTTTTCCTGCAACTCCGCCTCTTCCTATGCTTGATCGGTCCATGGCGGGGCTGGTTTGGTTCTGCCTCGAGTATCCCACCATCTGTTGGTGGTCAGGTGGCTTCGTTGATGATGTCCCACCTGCGTGCTTCGTCTTGGCGGCAGTGTGGGGTTTTCTTTGGCAGTCCTTCCTTTTTCTTTCTGCCCCTTTGTCGGTTTGCTATGTTTTCTTGGCGTGGTCTGGTCCTTCACTTGTGGAGGTTTAGGGCTGTCATCTTGCCACATACTGTCACCTTGTCTCGTGCCACGCTGGTGGAGCCGCTCAGAGTTGCTTGGTTTTGGAAGTTGCCTCGACACCGCTTCGCGACCAGTCTCTGGAATGGTTCACCTTTGGCCTGCTCTTGTGCCGCTTTAGCCGTCCTGGTTCTTGAATTGCGTGCTCTTTTCTCTTCTCCTCAGTTTGTGGTGGCCCCTTCGGTCCTGAGTGACTTGTGAGAGTTTGGTCCACCAGGCTCTTGCTTGGAGCGGCCCGCAGGCCCACATACCCATCACAGCCCGATTGGTCTGGTACTCCTTAAAGAAAATAATCTAGTTTTCTCTTGAAGATGTCCACGGTTGTTCCAGCAATATTTCTGATGCTCGGTGGTAGGACGTTGAACAACCGAGGACCTCTGATGTTTATACAGTGTTCTCTGATTGGCACAATCAGAGGGTCGGGTTGGGGTGCATCATCCCCTCCACCGGCGCCTGGGTTCGGCTCTTTTGGTTCTCTTGATAGGTTTGTTTGCTTGCGGCCGTCTCCTTTTCTGGCGAAATCTGGCACGGCTGCTTTCTGGAGGGGTTCCTTGGGTTGTTTGATGCTTGGTTGGTCTGACCAGGGGTGCATTGAGTGTTGCGTTCGGCTGCGCACTGCGCCGTGCTTGGCGTGCCACAGCTGCCGTGACCGGGGTCACGCTTTGGGTTGTTCCAAGTTTCCCTCTTCCTTGTTCCAGGGTGTGGTTCTCTCGGGTCATCCGCAGGGTAGTTTGGTCCTGCCAGCCTGCTGTCTGTCCTCGTGCCCACGTCGTTCGTTGGTTGGTTCTTCTTTCTTTCGTTGATGTTCCTGAGACTTGTTGGGCCTGTGTGGCCTTGGGTTGGCAGTTGTAGTTTTTGTCTCCACTTCGCGTTGGGGTGCATCATCCACCTCCCGGGGTTAGGCCCCTCTTGTTTTCGTCTTTAGGTAGGTAGCTCCTAGGAGCCGAAAGGGCTACCCCCAGAAAACCAGCGTTAAATGTAATGAAATGCCATTTTCTGAGTGAGACCCGGAGGTCCCCGACAACCCTCTCTCCTCCCGGTCGGCATTTTTTGCATGTTTTGATGTCCAGCCTCAGAACTGACGGGTGGATGGCCACACGGGGGTCTGGGGCTTCCCTTTCCCCCTACCAGGGAGGGGTGGGGGGGGAGCTGCGTAGACAGTGGCGCAGCGACGTGTGACGACATGCTCGTTTGCCGGTTTCTGTTTGGGGAGTTCTATCCACTTCTTCGCCTTTTTGTCACAATTTTCACCAGAATAGGGGTTTGTTTTGGGACGCTTACCTTTCTGGGTTCTTGACCCGGTCGATGGCAGATATAGAATGCTTCCAACCACACAGGAATTTCTCTAGGCCATTGCTCCTCGTGCCTCTTCTGAGGGGGCCAGGTTCTGGCTCGTGGTCCTCGGTAGGCCCACAGAACTCCATACACATGACTGATGCCAAAGTCTGACATTAGCATATCAGCCTGGATAGCTCCAGGGAGCGGACAGGGCTCACCCAGAAAATGGCGTTTCATTACATTCAACGCTGGTGTTTTTTAACTGTAGCCTCTGTTTAACTGAACAGTAAAATGAGTACTTGGTTGTAAAAACGATTCTTCGTGGGGGTCATATTCCAGGGACCATAGGATTAAGGACTTGCCCGAAACACTACACGTACTAGAGGCTGTACAAGAATGTAATAACTCTTGTGTATATCTCCCCCCCAAACAAAATTTAAAGCAAAAGATACAATTTGATCAACTCACCCTATTGGAATGGTGTGAGAGGTTAATAGGAACACAGTACCAAATAATTTAGTGTAACATAATATAAGACAAATGTTAATGAGCAGCATAAACATCAAAACTTGCTATGGAAACATACCTTCTGTTGGCAACAAGCTCCACAGTACCGGTAACAAGCTGACCCTCTTTAACAAATATTGGCTTTTCTAGAAGGCAGCGCACCTAAGAAATAATGGAAACAACAATTTCAGCTTTACATATAATTACTAAACAACTTAAAAGTACATATACTGTACATACATACATGCATGCATGCATGCATGCATATATATATATATATATATATATATATATATATATATATATATATATATATATATATATATATATATGCAAACAAGCCTGAATGGTCCCCAGGACTATATACAACTGAAAACTCGCACCCCAGAAGTGACTCGAACCCATACTGCCAGGAGCAACGCAACTGGTATGTACAGGGACGCCTTAATCCGCTTGACCATCACGACCGGACATAAGGAAGTGATAGCCGAAGCTATTTGAACCACTTCCCCGCCGGCACTCGGATGGTAATCTTGGGCATAGCATTTATCAAATCACCTCAAAAGGTGATTTGATAAAATGCTATATATATATATATATATATATATATATATATATATATATATATATATATATATATATATATATATATATATAATATATATATATATATATATATATATATTTTGGTAGCAGTCTTTCCTGTAGACATATATTATTAAATATGACCGAAAAAGTAAGATTAATAATTCTAACACGAATTTTCTCAATCTTTCGTACATTATGCTTCACTGTTGGAGGTAAATCAAAAATCACTTCTCCAAAATTCATTTTTATTTCTAGTCTGACGCGACACGGGCGCGTTTCGTAAAACTTATTACATTTTCAAAGACTTCACAAATACACAACTGATTAGAACTTGCGTTTCCCTGATTTTATATCTACATTTGAGTGAGGTGGGAAGGGTGATGTGGCATTACATTTGAGTGAGGTGGGAAGGATGATGTGGCATTAACACAAGACAGAACACTAGAGGATATTAATAGGGTATTAAAAGTATCAACACAAGACAGAACAGAAACAATGGGTATTGAATAGAAGTGTTTGTAGAAAGCCTATTGGTCCATATTTCTTGATGCTTCTATATTGGAGCGGAGTCTTGAGGTGGGTAGAATATAGTTGTGCAATAATTGGCTGTTGATTGCTGGTGTTGACTTCTTGATGTGTAGTGCCTCGCAAACGTCAAGCCGCCTGCTATCGCTGTATCTATCGATGATTTCTGTGTTGTTTACTAGGATTTCTCTGGCGATGGTTTGGTTATGGGAAGAGATTATATGTTCCTTAATGGAGCCCTGTTGTTTATGCATCGTTAAACGCCTAGAAAGAGATGTTGTTGTCTTGCCTATATACTGGGTTTTTTGGAGCTTACAGTCCCCAAGTGGGCATTTGAAGGCATAGACGACGTTAGTCTCTTTTAAAGCGTTCTGTTTCGTGTCTGGAGAGTTTCTCATGAGTAGGCTGGCCGTTTTTCTGGTTTTATAGTAAATCGTCAGTTGTATCCTCTGATTTTTGTCTGTAGGGATAACGTTTCTATTACCAATATCTTTCAGGACCCTTTCCTCTGTTTTATGAGCTGTGGAAAAGAAGTTCCTGTAAAATAGTCTAATAGGGGGTATAGGTGTTGTGTTAGTTGTCTCTTCGGAGGTTGCTTGTACTAAAGAGGCACCCTTCTTGAGCCCGGATGGGCACAAGTATAAGCAAGTAGATGGGGTCGCCATGGGTTCTCCCCTAGGTGTCCTGTTTGCAAACTTCTACATGGGTACCATCGAGCAAAAAGTCTTAGTCGACATGAACTTGAAACCGGCCATATACTGCAGGTATGTTGACGACATTTTTACACAGGTACCTGATGTCAGACATCTGCAGGAGCTGAAGGAGGCATTTGAGCAGAGTTCCGTGCTGCGTTTCACTTACGAGACGGAAAAGGATGGGAAGCTGCCTTTTCTAGATGTAACAGTCATGGAAAAGGGCGGAGGTTTCCACACTGCAGTCTACACAAAGGAAACAAACATAGGAATGTGCCTAAATGCCAACAGCGACTGCCCTGACAGGTACAAGAGGAGTGTTGTTAACGCATACGTCGACCGTGCTCTCAGCCACAGCTCAGAATGGAAGCAAGTCGACGAAGAACTCTGTAGGGTAAGGCAGGTTCTAGTCAATAACGGCTTCTCCAATGGTTTCATCGAAGACATCATAAGAAGGAAAGTGAAAAGCCATGCAACCTCCGAAGAGACAACTAACACAACACCTATACCCCCTATTAGACTATTTTACAGGAACTTCTTTTCCACAGCTCATAAAACAGAGGAAAGGGTCCTGAAAGATATTGTTAATAGAAACGTTATCCCTACAGACAAAAATCAGAGGATACAACTGACGATTTACTATAAAACCAGAAAAACGGCCAGCCTACTCATGAGAAACTCTCCAGACACGAAACAGAACGCTTTAAAAGAGACTAACGTCGTCAATGCCTTCAAATGCCCACTTGGGGACTGTAAGCTCCAAAAAACCTAGTATATAGGCAAGACAACAACATCTCTTTCTAGGCGTTTAACGATGCATAAACAACAGGGCTCCATTAAGGAACATATAATCTCTTCCCATAACCAAACCATCGCCAGAGAAATCCTAGTAAACAACACAGAAATCATCGATAGATACAGCGATAGCAGGCGGCTTGACGTTTGCGAGGCACTACACATCAAGAAGTCAACACCAGCAATCAACAGCCAATTATTGCACAACTATATTCTACCCACCTCAAGACTCCGCTCCAATATAGAAGCATCAAGAAATATGGACCAATAGGCTTTCTACAAACACTTCTATTCAATACCCATTGTTTCTGTTCTGTCTTGTGTTGATACTTTTAATACCCTATTAATATCCTCTAGTGTTCTGTCTTGTGTTAATGCCACATCATCCTTCCCACCTCACTCAAATGTAATGCCACATCACCCTTCCCACCTCACTCAAATGTAGATATAAAATCAGGGAAACGCAAGTTCTAATCAGTTGTGTATTTGTGAAGTCTTTGAAAATGTAATAAGTTTTACGAAACGCGCCCGTGTCGCGTCAGACTAGAAATAAAAATGAATTTTGGAGAAGTGATTTTTGATTTACCTCCAACAGTGAAGCATAATGTACGAAAGATTGAGAAAATTCGTGTTAGAATTATTAATCTTACTTTTTCTGTCATATTTAATAATATATATATATATATATATATATATATATATATATATATATGCGAATAAGCCTGAATGGTCCCCAGGACTATATGCGACTTGTATTCATACAAGACCAGGACTTGTATTCATATATTATATATATATATATATATATATATATATATATATATATATATATATATATATATATATATATATATATATATATATATATATATATATATGTCGTACCTAGTAGCCAGAATGCACTTCTCAGCCTACTATGCAAGGCCCGATTCGCCTAATAAGCCAAGTTTTCCTGAATTAATATATTTCCTATAATTTTTTTCTTATGAAATGATAAAGCTACCCATTTCATTATGTATGAGGTAAATTTTTATTTATTGGAGTTAAAATTAACGTAGATATATGACCGAACCTAACCAACCCTACCTAACCTAACCTAACCTATCTTTACAGGTTAGGTTAGGTTAGGTAGCCGAAAAAGTTAGGTTAGGTTAGGTAGCCGAAAAACAATTAATTCATGAACACTTGGCTTATTAGGCAAATCGGGCCTTGCATAGTAGGCTCAGAAGTGCGTTCTGGCTACTAGGTACGACACACACACACACACACACATATACATATACATATACACATATATATATATATATATATATATATATATATATATATATATATATATATATATATATATATATATATATTTTAGTATATTTTGGTAGCAGTCTTTCCTGTAGACATATATTATTAAATATGACCGAAAAAGTAAGATTAATAATTCTAACACGAATTTTCTCAATCTTTCGTACATTTCTTTTCACTGTTGGAGGTAAATCAAAAATCAATTCTCCAAAATTCATTTTTATTTCTAGTCTGACGCGACACGAGCGCGTTTCGTAAAACTTATTACATTTTCAAAGACTTTAGTTTACAAATAAACAACTGAATAGAACTTACGCATCTGCGATTTTATATCTACATTTGAGTGAGGTAATTACCTAAGTGTAATTACCTAAGTGTAGTTACAGGATGAGAGCTACGCTCGTGGTGTCCCGTCTTCCCAGCACTCTTTGTCATATAACGCTTTGAAACTACTGACGGTCTTGGCCTCCACCACCTTCTCACTTAACTTGTTCCAACCGTCTACCACTCTATTTGCGAAGGTGAATTTTCTTATATTTCTTCGGCATCTGTGTTTAGCTAGTTTAAATCTATGACCTCTTGTTCTTGAAGTTCCAGGTCTCAGGAAGTCTTCCCTGTCGATTTTATCAATTCCTGTTACTATTTTGTATGTAGTGATCATATCACCTCTTTTTCTTCTGTCTTCTAGTTTTGGCATATTTAATGCTTCTAACCTCTCCTCGTAGCTCTTGCCCTTCAGTTCTGGGAGCCACTTAGTAGCATGTCTTTGCACCTTTTCCAGTTTGTTGATGTGCTTCTTAAGATATGGGCACCACACAACAGCTGCATATTCTAGCTTTGGCCTAACAAAAGTCATGAACAATTTCTTTAGTATATCGCCATCCATGTATTTAAATGCAATTCTGAAGTTAGAAAGCATAGCATAGGCTCCTTGCACAATATTCTTTATGTGGTCCTCAGGTGATAGTTTTCTATCTAGAACCACTCCTAGATCTCTTTCTTTATCAGAATTCTTTAAAGATTTCTCACATAATATATAGGTTGTGTGGGGTCTATGTTCTCCTATTCCACATTCCATAACATGACATTTATTAACATTAAATTCCATTTGCCAAGTGGTGCTCCATATACTTATTTTGTCCAGGTCTTCTTGAAGGGCATGACAATCATCTAAATTTCTTATCCTTCCTATTATCTTAGCATCATCAGCAAACATGTTCATATAATTCTGTATACCAACTGGTAGATCATTTATGTACACAA